GCTCGTCGCCGGCCCCGCCGCCCGCTCCGTCCTGCCTGCCCGCCGGATCGCCCGCCCGCCGGCCGCCCCGCAGCCCCCGCGTTCAATAAAACCTTCATCCAAAGTGTGTTTGTGCAGTTTACGACCTCATTCGCTTGTAACCGCTCTCACGTTGAAAAAAAAAAAAAAATCTTTGACTTCTCTTTTTCTGACTTCAGCGAAAATCCTGCTCCCGGTGCCCTTAGCCCGGTTTCATTCATCCCAAGTTGTGGCCTTGCTTGCGCCTGCCTTGCGAAGACTTTTCTCCCCCCAGCTTTTGATTGCTTTTGAGGTAGGGGCTTTCAGATTTGGAGGGATGGTAAGCGAACCAGCAGCCCGTTCACTTCAGGTGATGGCGCGGCCGAGGACAGGGGTCGGCGGCTGAAGGCAGCTCTTCATCCTCTGTTGTGGTCAGGCACTCCTCAAGTCGTCGCCGAAAACCCCATTCTTCCGAGAATTCGGTAATGTAGTGTGGTGTATGCTCTTCTCCCTCCATTCCCTACCGGCTACAATAAAATGATAATCGTCGTCCCTCGTCTTAACTTTGGAAACATAGCATTTTTTCCTACAGCTCTAAGGATGTTACACATTTTATGTTTGAATTAGGTGTTGGGTTATTTTCGAAGAGTACCGGAGTTTGTTTGAACTTAAGCCTGAGATCATGGTTCTAAACTCTTAATGAAAAAACAGCAATCATGGAGCAAGAGATTGTTAGAAAGTGTGCTTTGCACGGGGTCAGCTGAGAAGAGACACCAGGGGTGTCTGATCAGGTCCAGAGAATGCTGGTCAGGCATGCCTTTGTGTCCTCAAGCTTGCTCTCCCTGCATTTGGGAGAAGATTGTATGTATCCTCTTGATGGTTCTCTTCCTTGGCCTTCCTTCTCCTACCAGGCAGGATATATTGCTTAAAAAGGATAGGAACAATGGGGGAGGAAAGCAAGTTAGAGTGGAAACATTTTTAATTAAGTGGAGATTCTTCTATCCTTTCCTCTAACTGCTTTTTAGGTAATGTTACAGAATCTGGGAAATGTCGGAAATTGCTGAAATTCCTGTTGTTTACCTTCTTGTCTTAGGGAGATAGCAGGTGATCACTGAAGAGGCAGTGTGTAGGCATATTTGTTCTTTCCGTAAAACCTTGAAATGAAGACTGCTGCGCTCTGGTTGAAAAGGCTGCAAGTATATTGATTAAATTATTTTTTTCACCATGTGCTGGTATTGTTTTGTATACTGTAACACCCCAGAATTCAGTCTTCGTTGGAGCATACAATTTTTACTCTAGTTCAGACAAGCCAAATTTCTATTGGTTAAAATAATAAATACCTTCCTTGAAATCCTTGCCTTAGGACAGGGGCCAAAAAAACTATAGATAATCAAGAACTCCCGGCAAGGGAGGAGGAGCAGGAGAAGGAGGAAGAGGCACCCATGGCAGTAGATAAGAAGTGTTGAGATTGTTTTGGGATTCTTGACCTAAGTAAACTCACGTTTTTGTTCAAAACTTATCTCTAAACAAACTAGTTGTAAATGTGAAACAAGAAGAGATGAACAGATAACGATTTTGATTGCTTTCTATTTAGGAAAATTTATTCTAACTCCGATGAATACTTGGGGAAAAATGAATGAAAGTTTGCACTGGATTTGTTTGGTTCACAGAGTCATGCAGCTTGACCACCTTTAGCAGGATCTAAGGAAACCTGATTTCCAAGCAGAGGCAGTTGGTGTTACTGTTGAAGGAAAGCCATCTGTAATCCTCAATTCTAAGTTGCATCTCTTGTTTTTAGATTCTGGGACATTTACTTAACAGTGAAGCCCTTTGATAGTGTTCACCCTTTAATCATGTGTGTGTCTTGGAATTGAGGAAATATAGCAGTTAATTTTATAGCGGATATAGGAGAGCTTAGCTGAGCATTTGCTTACACTCCCAGACATTTTTTGTTTGTTGTCTGCCTAAAGAGCATTCCTGTTCTCTTTGGGGGGAGGGGCTGTGTTTGTTCTCCCTGTGTACCTCCATTATTTTATTTTGATTAATCTCTGTGTGTGCTTTTTAATACTGAGCTCAGTGAATTTTTACATTAAGAGAAAGATACATGTTGAGATTTACAACATCTCTACTGTAGCAAAATCACTTGTGGGAGTTCACATGGAAAGGTACCAAGCTGTAGTATATGGAGTAAGTACTTCCTGATGGTGTGAATTTTAGTCACTCAGAAGTTCAATGCCATCTTTTTCTCATTTTGCAGTTGAGAACTGGTTATGAATCTGTTTTGTTCAACTTACTGATTTGTGAATGTAGATACTAGTCTGCCCCAAAAGAACTCTTATTTGCAGGTATCATTTAGATTGAGTTTTTATGTGTCTGTATAAAAAAGTTGTGATTTCTGTATTCTCCCTATTCTTACTTTAACGTAAATAGTAGGTAAAAGTGTACATCCCAAAATAACAAAGTGAAGTAATGAATATTGTGAAACCAGGGCTATGAAGGTGATGACAAGTCATTTGAAAAAGTGGTTGCTTAGACCATATTTGTAGAAGAGTCTCCAGAATAAAGATTTTGGAAGTCCTATTACCCCCACATCAAATAGCATCAGAAGAGTTTTATTCACTACTTGTGGAAAGACATAGCTGCAAAGACCAAGACTTCATAATACCAGTCTCATCTCAATAAGAGGAAGACCTTTTCTAACAACTGAGAAAGAAAAGGATTACCTGTGAGATGGTGAGTGCTCTCCTCCACCTGTCCCCTGCGTTGGGAGCTTTCAGGTGGCCAGGAGAGAAGGTGGGTGAGCTCTGATACAACTTCTGAATTGCTTCCTGTGAGTCGGGAAAATGGCTGGTAATCTCTGATTTTGTTTTGTAATTAAATTTTAGAGATTGATATTTAATTTCACTTAGGTAAAAGCTGATTTCTAGTACATGAGCGATAACTCCACACATTGTGGAGAAATCTACAAAACCTAGGATTAATATAGGAAGAATTTTGAGGAGAAAATCTGTGTACATAAACTTTGGTTAGGGACACTTTAATTATCATGCCTTATTCTGTTTGCTTATGAGATGATCACAGTTGGCATAGATTTGTAAAAGCCCTGAGAAATACCTTTTTTTCTGAAATCATCATTTAGAAATTTTAAAGTGAGAATGGTTTAAATAATTAGCTCAATTGCTAAATGAATGCAATGAAGTAGCATTTACATATTCTCTTCTGTGTTTTTATAGTAGAAAAATAGGTACTTGGGAAATTTTAAATTCTTGTTAAAATATGTTACTGTGTTTAGTATGTATTTCTTATTTCATTGAAAAACATGATACATTATAGTTTAATATAACCAGTTGAAGTTATTTGTAAGGAGTTTTATGATGCAATTTGAGTTTAACTTATGACCTGGTTTTACTTCGATTCAGAAAAGTATAGTGGTAGTTTAGTTTTTAAAATGTAGAAAGTAGTCTTCTGGTTCGGAGGTCAAGTTTGTTTCTTTTCACTGAAACTTTGATTAGAAAATCTGGCCATAGTTTGTTTATTCTAGAATTGTATGCAACTAAGGATATTCTGCAAGTACTACCTATAAAATCGTTGCTTTTAGATACCTTTTGGAAGTGCAGGGTAGTAAAGAACTCCATGAATAATGGCTAGCCAACCTATGCATTGTAGCTTGGCTTGCTTGACAAAATTTGCCAAGTAGGAAATAGTGAAAGTTGTGCTGTTAGTTGATGGGAGACGAGTGCAAATGAAAGCAGCTTCTAGTGCCAGATGACAGGTCAGTCTTTTATGTCATGGGCCTTCCCTGAACACCTTAGTTCATATTGTTTGTGGTGTTGTCTTTGTGCTTTGTGTGAAACAAGACAATGTAAAATAGTTATCCGGTAATGAAAAGTGTGAGCCTTGTGGACAATGTTGTACTTTCATTTGGTATTAAAGTTTTCTTGGGTTACAGCTTATTGCCGCAGCAAGTGATTGAAGAAGGAGTCCTGTTCCTGCCCCTGAGCTACAGCTAAGGTACAAGGAGTGGCTTGGGGGTAAGGAGTCCTTCTCATCATATATGGTTTGTATGTATGGAGACTGCTTGTCAGACATTGACATTCTGCCTTAATTTTTTTTTTTTGTTCATGACTTGCACATTCAATATTGATATTGATAGGTTTTTAAAATCTTACAGTGTGTCCAGTATTTATATAGTTAATTGAATCATCTCACTTTGAGCATAAAATTACCTTTAAATGTTCAAAAGCAGTGAGCTAAATTTTTAAGCAATTAAAAAAAAACTGTTGCCATTGTTACCTTTTTAGTACAGGTATAACTCATGTAAAAGAAAATGAGAATACAGAAATTTGGCTTCACATCAGGAAGGAACAAAGGGTAGAAAAGGAATGAAATGTGCTATGATTACTCATGTATAATAAGTATTTGTTGCAATTCTATTTTCACTTACTGGCTTTGTGTTAGAATTAATTTCTGATATACTCACGAGTTTATCTGTTTGAGATAACAAGTAGCTCTTTTTAATACTTTTAAGAAGCAGTATTCTTAAACCAACAGGCATTATCAACTCTTGTAGTTATCTCTTAAGGTAGTCAAATGTCAGGAATTAAATGAGAATATGGTAAGTCTATGTATTTGAAGGAAA